TCTCCCACCTTTCTTTCTTACTGGAACAGTTTGCGATTGTGACTTAAGCACTTCATTTTTAAGCATCACCCATCCTTCCTGTGCAGATTTCCCCCTCGGCATTTCCAGCCATGGGATCCTACCTAATATTTCTCTGAGTTTTTTTAAATCAGCTTTCCTGAAGTCCAGGATACGAGTCCTACTATGTCCTGGTTTCACATCCTTCTCTATGTCAAATTCCAAGCTGACATGGTCACTATTCCCCAAGGATCCCACAACATTCACTTCATCAACCAGTTCTTCCCTGTTAGACAAGATGAAATCTAGGATAGCAGATCCTCTAGTTCCCACCTCCACCTTCTGAGAGATGAAGTTGTCCACAAGACTTTTCAAGAATCTGCGGGATGCCCCATGTCTAGCAGAGTTAGATTTCCAGCAAATATCTGGATAGCTGAAATCTCCCATAACCACTACATCCTGTCTCTGTGAAAGTTTAGCAAGCTGTTCTACAAATGCATCATCCAGTTCCTCTGGTTGGTTTGGAGGTCTGTAGTATACCCCCACAACAATTTCCCCTTCTCCCCCCCCTCTATCCTTACCCACACACTTTCAACAAGGCAACTCTCAAAATCCTGAATTTCACTGCAAGCGTATTCATTCTTGACATATAGTGCCACCCCGCCTCCTTTTTTGTTCATTCTGTTCCGTTTAAACAAGGTATATCCTTCAATCGCTGTGCTCCATATATGAGACTCATCCCACCAAGTCTCAGTGATAACTATCAAATCATATTTACTTTCCACTATTTGAAGTTCAAGTTCTTCCTGTTTATTTCCCATACTCTGTGCATTAGTATAAAGACATCGCAGATTACAGACATCCTTTCCTACCTTAGGTCCCTTCGATTTTACATGAAAATTACTGAACTCACCTTTCTCCCGTTCATTTATTCTCTGGTCAATGGCTTGACTTCGCAACAGGGAGGTTCAGACATTGAAAAATACAGGGTGGAAGCTCCGGCATATGTAAAGATCGGACTTTCCCCAATGTTGGCAAACTCCACTTCCAGGATGCGCCGGACCTGGGTGCCAATGACCAGGGCACGGAAGGCAGATCTTGTTGTCTGATCATGCTCTTTACATTTGCAAAGGTACCACGATGATATTAGCGCGAACTGCTAGTGTGACCACAGCCTAGCTAAGTATACTGAATACAGGGCTATTTTGGGGCAGGAACTCACAGGAACAGAGTTCCGGCTGGCTTCAGAGTTGGCCACGCCCACTACAGCCAAAACCTCTGCGTACGTGGGAACAGAGGGAAGGTCTGGAGAGCGACACCCCCCCCCAGCGACTCCAAGGCAGGCAGGCCAGGGGGGCCTGGAAGGATCAGGGAGGCATTTAAATCCCTCCCCGTGCCTTCCCCAGCCTGTCCAAGGGCCGGCTTGCCCGGGTGCCCCGCAGCCGCAGAGCGCCCAGGCAAGCCAAGGGAAGGCAGTTTAAACTGGCTTCTCTTCCCTTCAAGGGGGGGGGGTCGTGCCCGGGCTCCTAACAGCCATGGGGCACCTGGGCAAGCCAAGGGAAGGCAGTTTAAACTGCCTTCCCTTCAAGGGGGGGCTCACCCGGGCTCCCCACAGCTGCAGGGCACCTGGGCAAGCCAAGAGAAGGCATGGGTGTGGCCTAATATGCTAATGAGTTCCTGCTGTTGGGTGTGGCCTGTTATGCTAATGAGTTTCTGCTGGGCTTTTTCTACAAAAAAAGCCCTGACTGAATCAATGACTCTTCACACACAAATAAAGCACCAACGCTTATGTGGATTTTCTGCATACATGGGCTTTCCCATTCACAGCCAGAGTTAGAGCGTCAGGCTATGGACTACTCTTGTTCAATCCTCACTTAGGAACTGTACAGATAACCTTAAGCCAATCCATATTTCCCAGTCTAATCTACCTCACTGGGCTTTTGTAAGGATAACGTGGGGAGAGAAGTACTGTAAACATTGTTCTAAACTAAATGGAGAAAGGATGGAATAAAATTAGACAGACATCTTTCTGTCTGGAGACACATCTTTCATGGAGATGCATCTTTCAAAGAAGTAAATGGAAAGCTGTACATGAGTATCAGAGTGAAACTGCTGATAAAGTTATGCTCACTTTTCCAATAGGTTACTGGTTTTAAAAAAACTGTTTGAATATCAACACCAAGCTGAGTAAGGAAAACAATGTAAACAATGCATTTGACCATCTTTGATTTTGTTTAAAGTGCATGAGCTTATCCATAGAGAATACATGCTCTATTAAGTCAACCACAGAAACAAAAGATACGAAACAGGACAGAAACGGAGAGTAACAATGTATCTGCTGAGTAAAACCTGGAAGTCACTGAATTACAAGGAACAAAGAATTCTTCTTATGTGTATCTATTGTATTTTGTAGCATAAATCAGTTTTTACTACTTTAATGGGGTCTTTAGCCTGAAGTCAGGAAGCTACACTGAAGTGCAGAATAAGCTATAAATTAAGATCCATTTCAGCAAAGTTTACAGTCTATGGGGGAAAATAGGATATACAGCAAAAACACAGATTAATCAGAGTTGTAACTACAAGCTTTACATATACAAGTCTTATTTATAAATAACCCTTTCTTATTTTTAAGTTAATTAAAGCTACTGGGCAACGTACCTTAACAAGTTTTAGAAGCTGATAAAGGTCCTCAACTTCGTCACCTTCACATCTAGTATATGTCCTGCCAATATCCACACTAGTACCCTTAATGGTGCGGCGATAAAGAGGCAAACCCATTGCTTCAGCATAAAGTTGTATGGCATGATGCCCCACTGTCTGATACATGTAACTGTCCAGCTCATCTGTGCCTTCTGAAACAGAAATAAACAAAAGATTAAAACTATGTTACCTAAGGTTAGATCCAGCCAACTGTTTCACAACCACGTCTAATTCCCCTCCTTATTAGAACCACCACCACTAGTGCAAATTACGTCCTGATTAATTTTCAGGGCTCTTTTGTAGCAGGAAGTTCTTTGCATATTAGGCAACACACCCCTAATGTAGCCAATCCTCTGTAAGCAGAGCTCTGTAAGCTCTTTGAGGATTGGCTACATTAGGGGTGTGTCGCCTAATATGCAAAGGAGTTCCTGCTACAAAAAGAGCTCTGTAATATATTTATTAATCACTCCCCATGTTGTGTTAAACCTTTCATAAAAATTGACTCCCTTTGTTTGTATTAACCCTGCTGACTGGATGCCTATTGTCTCAGGGAAAGAAACGCATATATGCAATCACATGCCTTGGTCACTATACGTCTGTGAATAAATGGTGGCAATGTGAAAAACAGAGTTTAGTTCCCAGCCCCATTAGCTCTGTGAAGTGGCTAGGGTGACTGACACAGGAAACTGGGCTGCCCAGTCTGGTGAAGTCCCTGGGAAAGAGGAGAGGGGGGACTCAGGGATCTCTACTTAAATAGATAAGAGGCAAGTGGCAAACTGTGACTGTCCAACCTACCAGTAAACCTGAACCCATGTGACAGAGGTTGTGGAGGGTGATAGGGTCTCGGAGTGAGTGTAAAAGGCATCATAGCATCTACCACTTGTTTTTCCCCTTCCCTTCTGAATTAGGATTCTTTAGGAATAAGTATTTTCCTGCTAGTAACTTTGAACTATGATTTTTTTCATACTTCTACAAAATACATGTAAGCCCAGGGCTTTTTTTTCTGGGGGAATGTGTCGGAATGGCATTCCAGAACCCCTTCGACAAAATTCTTTTTAAAATGTTTAAAAGTTCATGAGTTTTCACTATACAGATTGAAAATTTCATTTCCCTCTTGAGAGTCCCGGCACCTGTCAAACCTCGCTATGCTTCACTTGCTTTGGTTGCCATTGTTATTGAAGGAAGGGGAATTCCTTGGGGGACGGGTTTGGTGTGAGTGAGTGAGTGAATAAGACCTTTGCTTCTAGAAGACATAACTTTCCAAGTCATCCTCCTTCCCTCCTTTTCCTTTCCCAAGCGAAGGTGTCCTTGAGCAGCTCTCTGTGCCAACCCTGAATGTAGATAGCTAAGACAGATACCCTTCACATGGTTGGGATGGCAACACTAGGAGTGGTATGATTGTGACGTGTGCTTGGAGAAGGGGAAGGAACTTTTTCTTTGAATTTACTAAATTTAGCTTGTGCCCGCCAAAAGCCTTTAGTTTTGGCACAGTGACTTTCTGGATCTTGCATATACCTCAATAAACTTATCACTGCCAAAGAGAGAGTTGTTGAGCACCTCTCCTCCCCCCTGACAAAAAAAAAAAAAAAAGCCCTGTGAAAACCTATCAGCAAGGTCTGTTTGGGTCTTCTGTACAGCACCTAGTTCTTTGAGGCACTTTATAAATAATAAATTAGTGGCCAGTATCCATCCACGCCTTTAAATTTTCTTGATTACTACCAATTCCCACCCCCCAGGAATAGTTTTTGGAATATATCTGGACATAGGCTAGTTTTAATACTAGCACTTAAATAACTGATCTTGCCAGCCCGTCAGCAAGTATAATCTGTAGTACCTTCAACAAATCTGGATTAAGGATGCTATAAAATGTAAATGAGCATTCCTTGCCACAAAAACCATTTTCACCAATACGTAAAGGTATTCATTTTCTGGTTTTAACAACATTTCACATTTCTGAAGGGGATTATTTCACATGAAGACAAACTAATGAACAAGATTACAGATGGTTTGTTTTCAAGATGCTAAGGAAATAAATCGCCCTATTCTACCAGTAAAGAAATGGGAAAGCAAAATTGTTGCAAACACGCAACAGAAAAAAATGTACACTACACAGAACAAATTCAGTTCTGCCCTGCATGACACTCTAAGGTAGTCTATGGCCCTGTTCACATGGAGCATTTGCCTCGTAGAAGGCACAATACTCAGGCAGATTTTCCGGGCGTGATCACACCGGAACATCTGGGAGGCGTAGCGCACCTGTGGCCAATCCGTGTCATGCCGCCGAAGATGCGCATTTAAAAGGTACCTGCAGCAACCTACTGGCAAATGGTTTGCCACGGGCTGCATACAGACTCCTACAGTGTGATTGCGCCGGTGTGTGGCTATTCCCCCGGGTCTTCCTCTTTGCTGTGCGCGCCGACGGAGAATGCCCCGGTGTGCCGCCGTCGCATCTGATCGCCTGATGGGGGATCAGAATGCAACTGCGCAAATAGCCATGCCTCCCCCGCACGTTATCTGGCCCATGTGACCGGGGCCTACCCATGGCAAGTCAATGACCCTGGGAATTACATGGAGCTCCCAGCATTGTTATGTATTTTGCTTGGTGGAAGGCATATATGCAGGCCCAATTCATATTGGGATCATGCCACTAGGGAAAGGGGGGGGGTAAGCCTCCCCCCTACTATTTTTCTCACCTGAAACGAACTCACAGAACTGCTATTTTCAGAACAAGCATACAGGTACCTGTAGATGAAAAACTAACTCCAGACACTGGATACAATCCCCTGACAAATTCTTTCAGCAAGCACTCTGGGGTATGTAGTACAGCAGGTATGATGGAAGAGTCTGAGGGCTGTTCTACAAGCAATGAAGACTTCTCACCTTTGTTTTCAGCAGGTCTTAAATTGGCTAAGGCAACGATCTTGTGCCCAGCAGCAACACAATGCATCATATTGTAACAGCTGTCTTTTCCACCACTAGAAAGGAAGAAAAAAAATCAGACGTATTATTTGATAATTAAAGAAGATCACGAAGAACAGCCCTGTAATGATGTTATGATACTTCTTTCAAAGCAACAAAATACACAGACATCACATTATATGAATGGAAGGTTTTTTTAAAAAAAACTACTTTTAAAAATGCTTATGAAATTGGAAGTTCATAATTGGGATACACATCCCAATCTAGACACCAAGATAAATGCTCAGGAGCACATATGACATTCCACACCAGCACAAAAGGACCCATTCTGTTGGATATAAAGAAAGCTCCATGTGCCCAGCTCCAAGAAAATCATGGAGCACTGGGTCAAGAACAAGGTTCTTACTACTAACTCTCTGGAACAAACATACAATTATGCCTTTTAAAAAAAACAACAACAGTTTCAATCAGGTCACTACTTTAGTACAACATCCTATGAAGTCTTTAACTGCTGCTGTAACAAGCAAGCAGCAATATACAGAACATTGGTTAGATTTTTAAAGGGCTGTTGTATAGCAAAGGGGGGGAAGGCTTGGAATTTTATAATCTTGAGTTTTATATGACAACGAGCCAGTGAAGTGTCATTCTGCTTGAACACAACTATTAACAAGTCTTGAACATGAGATGGTTTTCCACAACTGAAGAGCAAGCTTTAAAAGCACTTATTGTTAAAGCTCAGTTCTCAGTGACTTCACATGGGGTGAATCTCAAATGCAAAACAATATTGTGTGGGTGCAAGACTGCCATCAGAAACAATTTAGCTGCTAAGGACATTAGGCAGAATAAAAGCAGCTAAATACCAAAGTACTTGTGACGCACAAATGCTTGATTCTTTACAGATAATTTCCCGGGCTATAAAAAGAAAATGCTTGATTTGCTACTATTTCTCCAAGCATCAATATGGATTTGTACTTTTAAAGAAAAAAAGTAAGCACATATAAAGAAAGTGGGGGAAAACAATTCTACACCAGTATCAAAAAGGACTAATAAAGAATGTATGAGGGAGACTACTGAAACAGTAGCAGTTAATGAACCATTTAAATTACTTTGGACACACTGAATTCAATAGAACAAATAAAACATATCACTGAAACTTTTTTTAAAATCAAATATTTAGCTGTACACACATTGAATGTCACATGAGAATTACTCAACACACTTTTAAAGAAAAAATCAAGTGTACACTACATGGATGGTATATGTGCTCACTGTAACTTTCGAACAGGGTTAGTATTGTCTAATCTTACTGGCAATGGCTCTGCAAGGTCTTAGATAGAGGTCTTCCACATAACATAACCTACTTCCTGATCTAAACAAGGACTGAACCTGGAACCCTCTGCATGCAAGGCAGTATGACATGTGCCCTTCCACTAGCCCTCACCTTTGTGGATGATCAGGGTCAGTGGCTGTGTGCTATTTCTGTGCTATCCTTTACTGCCTAGTTTACTACTGATGGCAGACGGAAGTGCCATGGCTAAACGGGTTTGGGGAGGGGGGAATTTGAGAGCAAGGGGGTTGCTCTGACACTGTGATATTTTCCTGCAAGGGTGGGAAGTCTCTACCAGCACATCTGCATGTGGAATTCTCCCTTTAGCAATAGGTAGCTAACACACAGGAGAAGAGCTTTGTCAGATGTCTGAAAAATTAAGTGGAAAAGAAAGAAACACCTAAGAAAAGCTTTCAAGAGGCTTTCCTCCGAGAACCAGCTGTATTAGCTGTCCCACAATTAAAGTCATTCAAATTTCTGATGGCATCTTTCCCTTGAGTACAGCCATTTTCCCTTGTTTCCTGAAAACACAGAAAGCAACAGTCACAACATTCAAAGAAAACAAAGAGGTTGCCTGAGATTGCCATCAACCAGTCCACTCACACCAGACGGAGAACCACAGAGTGGCTGACGGGTTGAATTGACTTAATGCACTTCAAAGAATTCTTAAAATCTATGGAAGAAAAACAGATGCTAAAGGCTTAAAAGAGGTGTCAAATTTAGATGGAGTTTAGGACCAACCCCTCCCCCACCATGCAGATATCCAGAGGCTACACCCACTACTTTTTCACAAAAACATGTCAACTCTACTTGAATTCACCAACCTCACTATGGAAATATTAAAGTAACTTAACTCAGCACACTGCACTCCACTTTCCTATTCTTGACACCCAGCTTCTAAATTAGAGGTAATTAGGGATAATGGGAAAGTAGGCCGATATTAAGGCATATGGTTCCTATCCCTGAAGACTGTTGCATAACTGCATGGAATGTGAAAAGAATGCCACAGGCCACATTAGAGACCCCTTAAAGGATGTGATAAATCCCCTAGGTTTTATTTTTGACAGCTTTCAGTAAAAACAGTAAGGCGCTACCTCCAATCTTCATTTTTAAAAATCCACCATACATTGTGCCCAGGCTTATCCCTAAATAAAAGCAATGGCAATACAGCCTGATTCTCAGCATATCAATGAATGATGTCAATGGGGATTTTTTTTTTTTTTTTGCAAAATGGCATAGCTTCTTTGGAGGCAACCTCTCTTACAGTTCTGGTTTGACATTAAGGAACCATAGCAGAAGTGTCCTTGCAAATATTCCTTGATAGTTTCAAGTAAGAAGTTAAAGGAAAATAACACAACTATATGATCAGAAAGGTATTATCAGGCCCCGGTCACACGGGAGGTTTTGGGGCGGAAGAGGGCCGGATCGGGGGTGCGAGCACACCGCAACATCTGGGAATCGGCGTGCACCCGTCCCCGATCCATCCCTTCCGGCCTAAAACCCGCTGCAAAAAACCCCCAAGTAAAAGGTAGCACCAACCTGGAACGGCGCAGCAAGTGCAGCCGTGAGATCACCGGCGCGCCCGTCTGCAGGAGCAATCGAGGCTCCCGGCCGAACTACACACGCGCACACATGCACAGTTCAGCTGCCTCGCTCTCCCTGCAGTGGCTTCCCCCCGGCATCTGATCGTGCCAGGGAGCAACAGAGGATCTATCTGATCCCGCCGCCGCATGTCTCTTTTGGTGCGGCTTTAAAAAGCCGCACTTCGGCCGTTCTTTTTTCCCTTTTTTCCCAGGGGCCTCAGATTGGTTCTATTGATTGTTTTGGATAGGATGCTCTGAAGTAAAGATTGGGAATTCTTCTAAAAGCAGCTGCTCAAAGATGGTTGCAGATTACTTTCTCCAGTTTCAGGACTGCTCCTCTGAGCAACTCATACAGCTGAAAATGAGAGTTTCTTACACACATGTATTCTTCCCCCAAACCCAGTCATCTCCAGAAGTGAACTGAGAAATGTGAACTAGGTAATGAGCCTCAATGTTAACTGTAATAATTCTTGCTCAGAGATGCTCTCAGAAAAATGCAACTCATGTGTGACTTTTCTTATACCACAATACAAAGTACGCATTTTCACTGACATACGTGCAATTGGAAGCAAGCATATTGGACTGAAAAATGAGATATTCACATTTTCACAAGACAAACATAGACCTTCACATGTGTTTGCATTTACTGGTATTTATGAAATCCGAGAAATGCCCTCAAACTTCAAGTGCATCATACAGTATTAAAATGTAGGCAACCTTGCAACAGTCACAAGGCAATCATGATCTCTTCCTCTCTCATGTCCACCACAGTTTGGAAATAAATCTGTTTCAAACCTTAAATCACCCAACACTAAGTTATCATAGGCCCCGGTCACACGGGCCGGATATCGCGGGGGGGGGGCCTAGCTAATTGCCCCGGAGGAAACTAATGTGCGGCTGCCTGAGCACACGTCCCGGTCGAGGTCCTGTGGTTAGGGGGGAGATGCCGACCGGACGGGTATCCTGCACTAGCAATCGCTCTTTGTGCGCATTCGCTGTTGGGCGCTATTGCACAACCTGCGGAGACGGGCACCGGATGCCACGTAAGTCCACCGGAAACACAATCAGACGCCCGCCCTTGGCCCGCGGTTTCCGGAAACTAGTACCTCGTAAGTACTAGTTTTTTAATCCGCACCTTTGGTGGGGAGCCACGGGTTCACCACGGGAGCACTGCGCTTCCCAGATGTTGGGGTGTGATCCCGCCCGGAAAATCCGCGGGACTCCCGTGCCTCTCCTTTGGCAACTTCGCCATGTGGCCAGGGCCACAGATCACAATCCATGTAATATATTCCTGACCTTTAGTATTTCCTATGTGAAAATATCAGTCCTCCCTTACTCTCCCAATACCACCCCTAGTCCTTCAAAAGGACCCTCCTTTGGCCACTCCAGAAATAGTCACTCTCTTTAGAAAGAACTATGCCAGTCCTGCGGACATTTTAGCCTGGGTGCTGCTACCATTTGAATTTCACCTTCAATCTAACCGCATGGAATTTGCTGCAGAGTCTACATCAACACTGACTGTATTCCACTATGATTATTCCACCATGATCTGTTATTATATTTCCATCATCGCTATGCAATATTATTACTGTCACTAGCACTTTATGATTGTTTTTATAAAGGCTTTGTTTTACATGTTTTAACTTTTATGTAAGCCGCCCTAAGACTGCCCCGGTGGGGAGGGCAGGATAAAAATTGAACAAATAAGTAAATAAATAAATGTTGATACTGATGTGGTTGGTGCCGCCTTCAGGCAGTTTACAGACCAAACCACTGCAGGCCAACAAAAATCATGAACTTTATTCACTCTTATACATTCGTCCTTAGATTCACAGGCTTAAAATGAACTGGGAGAAAAGGGCCAAGACTAAGTTTGCAATGGCTAGCCCTTCTCCTTAGTGAGTGCACAGTCTGTCATTTCTCAAGCCAGAAGCACGATCCACTGAGGAAATGATAAGTTGTAGAAAATATCTCTAAAAGGAGTGTGACACAAACTATTTTTTGTTCTTATTGATAACAAGGCTGTTAAACAGTCAGAGCTCAGGATCTAGCTCCATAGAAGCAGATGAAAGAAAGGTGCAGGGTTAAGCACCTGCAGCAGTGAGCCCAGTTCCTCAGGCTAAGTAACACGGTGAAAGTACAGAAGTCATTGGGCGGAAATTTGCCAATGTGAAGTAATTTGGCAGACAGGTGAAGTAGTGTGAGATGTATTATCTCCAAGTCTGAAGATAATAAAATACATTTGGAAAGGACATGATTTAATGACGTTTTGAACACCCCTGCTTATCCTTAGTGCACTGACAAAGTCCTACAAAAATAAATCGAAACGCAGGGTGAATTACTCCAGTGCCAGCCCCTCTGCAGACTTATCATCATCACATTCAGTTTCCGATTACCGACCCCTCTCTCAAACTGCACATGCATGGGGGGGGCCTTTAAAGTAGTGTCCCCCCCCCCATGTACTGGATGGGAAGAATTAGGCAAACAAAAACAACACCATATTACAACGATGTCCAGGAAAGCGAAGACATCGCACTGCTTGACACCTGTCAGTCTGCACGCTGAACAAGGAAAACAGGAAACGTGAAGAAATCGGGGGCAGAAAGGCCAGGAAGGAGATTTCTGGTTGCTCCAGAAGAGATGGCAGATGAGAGGAGACTGATGTTTATCCACTCCCTACCTTTCCGTCTCCCTCCTCCCCTGCTGTACAATATTTCCTCCCCAACCCCGTGCAGAACGATACTATTTGACTGAGGGCAATATTTGGTTTTTCTTTTCTCCAGTAATCATTACCTGATTAAAGCCACTACTTTCATCATGAACAACACCCCCTCTGGGATGGATTTAAGTATCTACGAGAGACCCCCACGCTGCAAAGCACCAGCCTCAAACAGAATCTCTTCTAAACCACGTTGCTCTCCGGCTGTTGCCGTTTGAGGCGCCTTCCTTCTTGGGAAGACCCTCCCGCTTGGCACTGTCTTCAAAACTGCCTGAGCTAATACAATGCTGGCATGGCTGCGATACCACTGTCTGATGCACACATGCTGCAAAATTCTTCTCTTTTCTAAGTTCAGAAATGCAGCTCCCGTTTGCAGTTGCAGTGGGAGCCGCGCACCATTAGAGTGGGGGGGGGAGGCTAAATTTCAGGCAAAGTTTTAAACACCTACGAAAGGGCACTGAGGCTGTTCAGAGTGAGGGCGTGTGTTTGCTTTTTCCGCAAAGCGCACTTGAGCTAGGGACCTACGGAATTCCCCGACTGTGTGAATAGCAGTTAATTCGTGCTAGAGCTGCCAGAATGCGGACCGAGCGAGTGTAGTTTTTAACAGTGTCTCTGACTGAGTACGTGCACTGCAGAGTGGGCTTTTGGTATCGTTGAGTAATCGCATCGATCTCCTACAACTATTGGGAAGGGAAGGGGGGCGATTTAACGGCAGCGTCAGACTTGACTTCTAGCATTCATTGTATATATATCAAGTAATCCTATATAAGAAATAAAATATTGAGGTTTATAGCCCGAACCGAAACGTGATTATTCAGAAGAAAGCCCCATGGAGTTTAGCGGGCCTTATTTTCCTGTTAAGATTGTTAAATTTGTGGCTCTACTTTTTTTGTTGTTCAGTCGCACAGTCGAACCGACTCTTCGCGACCCCATGGACCACATCACACCAGGCCCTCCTGTCTTCCATCGTGCTCCGGGGTTTGCTTAATTTCATGTTTGTTGCATCAATAACACTGTCTAACCATCTCATCCTTTGCCATCCCCTTCTTCTTTTACCTTCAAAGCCACTAACAAAGGAACATTCAGTACAAACTGATGACAGCAGGTCAATGGAGGGGGCCATGCTGTCTTTTAGCTGCAGACAGGGCACTTGAAAAGAGCACTGTCCCCTCCACAGCCCAGGCCAGCAGGGCATAGCTGAGTGTCACTGTAATCCTTGTTGCCAACCCCAGTTATGGTCTGGGATTCTGTAATGTATTCATATCCGACTGCGTGCGAGGCTAGCTCACCATCCAAGCTTCACTCCGAGAGACAATGGCCCAAGCGGATCCTAGCCACCACCAATCGGAGGGCTGGGGTCCTAGCCGGGACCTATGGAACTCTCAGCCACTGTAAATACCCTGTCACGGTGGGGGTGTGTGTGATGGGTGTGGGTATCTTACAAATAAAAGCCGGCCTGCAAGCCGGGGTTCCTTGTCTTGTTCCTAACCACTAAATAAAGTATGAGAGCTGAAATCACTCATGAGTCTCAGTACTTTTCACTGGCGACGAAGGTGGGATTCTACCTCCCATGAACAACAACCACGAAGAACCGAGCATCGCATCGCACTCCAGCACGGAAGGCAACGCACACCGCTCCGCATCATGCCCTGCTTCTCAGGTTGCCGCACATTGTCCAGCCCAGCACCGCAGTCCCTGCCATCAGCTGCTAACACTGCTCTCGAGCTTCGCCCTCCACAAAGAGTTGGTGTCATGGCCACCCAGGTGAACATCCCTGCTTTTGATGTTACCTTCCTGCAGCACTGGGAACCTAAACTACGGCGGAAACTGGCAAGCCATCTCAACCTCGACAAGGCCCTCAGGGAGTCCGCGGCATATGAAAAGGTGCATCAAGACCGCCGTGGCAAAGTGGTCCATCGCACACAAGTGGCCCTCGCTTTCTGGGCTGCACACAGGACCAAAGGAAATTTTAAAAGGCCTCTGATCTGCATTCCCCCCCCCCCCAGTCTCACACAGCACAACCAGTCTGGCCTTAAGAGACCCTCTGGTAGGCACCTGCACACATACAGAGTAATGGGACTGGCTGCCCTGCAGGACTGTGGGTTTCCTGGTGATAACTAGCCCCTCAAACTGAACCTGGAAACTAACAGGGAGGCAAGGGAACAATTTCAAGAGGTGTAACGTAGCATTCTCACTTTGTCTAACTCCAGACAGAAATTGAGCTATGGTGGTGTGTCTTCAATTCCTGAACTTAGAAGTTGTCTTCAAGGCTTGTCCCCTATGGAGTGCAGGTTTGGGAGGAGATACCAAGGATAGAACCAGGGATCTCCTCTATGCAAAGGATCACATCTGTCACTGAGGTACGGCCTCTCCCTTATTACAGAAACGCCTCCCTCCCCATCCATGTGCCCAACACATCTCATGTTTCTGTAAATCAATGCAAGGCACTCTGTTCATGCTCAGAGGCTGGAGGAAGATACCATTCTGGAAGTGGGAGGATCATGCAACCTACTACGCAACCGCCCCCAAGCCAAATGAATGATCTCCGCATTTTGTACACCCGAATTGCACTTGCATGCTTCCTCCTGCTCCAAAGCAATCCCATTTGCCATAACAAGGAAAAGATTTTTTGAGGAGAGTAGAGAAGGCAATCTCACCCCCTCCCCAGGGCTCTGGGTGGGATTCTCTTGGAGGCCCCTGAGGGAGTTCAGCTAAGGGGAGACAGAGGTGAAAGGCACCTTCCTCTCTCTCAGGCTGGTAGATTGGGGAGGTTGCCACAGGGGGCCTCTATTTTCCCCTTCCCATTTATCCGAGGTTTCACCTGCAGAGATCAGGAAGGGAATCTCTTCCAGGCCTGGAGGAAAACCCAGTCCCCTCCTGCTCCTTGCTACAAATCCATCCCCAGTTTAAGGGGCCAGATCCAGAGCTGGCAATCCTCCTCAGGAGCAGAGAAGGGACCAGCCTGAGCCCCCCTTGCACGTGGGACTGAGAGACCCCCTTGCAGGGCTGCCCAGCCTTCGGGAACTACTTCCCCCCATCTCCCCCACCCCTCCACGCCCTGCAGATTTTCACCCTTCCTGGCAGCCTCAGTCTTGCAGCTCTTCCAAAAGTAAAACTGGGTCCCAACTGGAGAAGAACTTCAGAGTTTGCCCTTCCCCTTTTGCATCTGGTCTGGGAATCACACTGTTCTTAACCCTTTACTAGCCATTGGAGGCCAAGACAGAGTCCTCTTCCTTTAAAGACCCGCCACTTTAAACAAAGAAAAACAAATTTAACATGCCCGTTCTGTTCTTTTCAGCCCACAGGCCACAGGGAGCACAAGTCAGGGCGCTCTCAGGTTGGCGGCCAGGTGGGTTTGCTTCCAAGGAAGCCGGTGGGTGTGGGCTCCCCCGAGGCTGGGCGCCTGGTGCTTTAAGATCCCGCAGGCTGCCAGCCACCAGCCAGGAAAGAGGAGGAGCCGTGGGAAAGAGAGAGGCTGGGCAATGCCACTCAGCAGGGCAAACGTGGTGCCAGATTTCAGGATGTCTGGCTGAAGGTCAGTGATTACACTGTAGTGGTTGTCAAGGACATTGAGGTCCTTCTTATATAGTTCTTCTGTGTATTCTTGCCATCTTTTCCTAATCTCTTCTGCTTCTGTTAGGTCCCTACCATTTTTGTCCTTTATCATGGCCAGCTTTGCATGGAACGCTCCCTTGATTTCTCCAATTTTCTTGAAGAGATCTCTAGTCCTTCCCATTCTATTTTTTCCTCTATTACTTTGCATTGTTCATTCAGGAAAGCCTCCTTATGTCTCCTTGCTGTTCTCTGGAAATCTGCAGTTGGGTAAATCTTTCCTTTTCACCTTTGTCTTTTGCTTTTCTTCTTTCCTTTGCTATTTGTAAAGCCTCATCAGACAGCTACTTTGCTTTCTTGCATTTCTTTTTCTTTGGGATGGTGGTGATTGCTGCATCCTGTAGAGAGAGAGACCTTTGGCTACGAAGCTTAGTCTATCAAGGACAGGTCCCATAGGAGATATGGTCCAAGGAAATAAGGGCTAGTCCCTATATTAAAGGTAGCAACTCTAGAGAAGTATCTTAAAAACCAGGAAAATACACATATTAAGAAAACTTATATACAACATCAGTTAAGCTGCTTATGAGGAAGTCACTAGACGAAACCAAGTGTAAGCCGGCTGCTTCGTCAAGCTCCAGTAGCTTTTAGCTCATTAAGCCTTATACTTTTTTGACTGCCAACAGTAACTGTTTAGGAATTCCACTGTTATCTTGGGGCTGTTGGCAGCCACTTACATTCTATTGTATTCTTATTGTTGTAAATATTTGGGGAAATTTTGTATACTTTATAGTAACTATCTAGTATAAAGCAATTGTATTCAGCATACTACTCATGTTTTAGAGTGTATTATTGGTTCTATATTGGCCCCAGTTTTGTTTTGTTTCCTTGGCTGTGTGATTACTGGGAGGTCTGTTTCATTTGGTATTGTTCTTTGCAGCATCGGACTTTCCTTTCACCATCAGACACATCCACAGCTGAGCGTCCTTTTGGCTTTGGTTTAGCCGCTTCACTCTTTCTGGGGTTACTTGTATTTGCCCAATATTCTTCCCCAATAGCATATTGGACACCTTCTGACCTGAGGGGCTCATCTTCCAGGGTCATATCTTGTAGCCTTTTATTACTGTCCATGGGGTTTTCTTGGCAAAGATACTGGAGTGGGTTGCCATTTCCTTCTCCAGTGGATCACACTTGGTCTGAGTTCTCTGCTGTGGCCTGTCCGTCCTGGGTGGCCCTCCACGGCATAGCCCACAGCCTCATCAAACCATGCAAGCCCCCTCTTTTTTTAATATATTTTTTATTCATTTTTAAACAATCATTTACAACGATAAACATCACAAGCATTGAACAAGCAAGCCCCCTCACCACGTCAATGCAGTGATCCATGAGGGAGGGCTCTGCTTTACTTGGAAATAAATCCAATATGGTTTACTCCAAAATAAGAATGCATAGGCTTGCTGCCTTATTGTGATCAGTCTGCAGGTGACAGTACCTGCACATAACGTGAATCGGGTTTTGATTCGGCTTCGTTTCCTGTCATTGTGCCAT